TAGTGGATTTGGGAACTAGGATACCTAAGGCCTGGTCCATGTTCTGCTATTTGCTTACTAAGTCATCATGGATGAATCTCTAGTTTACTCGTGTGTGTAATGGGAATAACCTTTGCTCTACCCAGCTCACAAAGTCATGAATGAAGCAGAAACTAGGTATCATGGATAACAACAATAATTAGGATTTAGGTAGTGTTTTAAGGTTTACAAAACAGAAGACCATTATCTCATTTTTATCTTGACAACAACCTGGGAAGGTGTTATTGTTATACCCATTTTACATTTGAGGAAACTGAGGCTGAGAGAGGAAGGAAACAAGCATTTATATGTGCTTACAATGTCCTAAGCTCTTTACAAACATTATCTCTTTTGATCCTCAAAATAACCCTGGAAGAGAGATGCTATTACCGTTATCCCCATTTTACAGAGGAAGAAACTGAGGCAGGCATCCATGAAGGCATTTGCCCAGGGTTACACAGTTAGTAAGTGTCTGAGGTCAGATCTGAACTCAACTCTTCCTGGCTGCAGGTCCAAAGCTCTATCAAATGTGAGGCTTTGAAAATTAGAGACACAACTTGTTAGTCAGTGTTGAGGTGCTTCCTCATGATTCCACACTCAATGTGCGGAAGACTTCAGTGAAGCTCTGTTCACATCGATGCAGTTCCTCCTTCCAAGCAGATAGGTCCCAGCATGCCCATCCTTGTCCATCTTGTTTGACACTTACCCGTCGTTCCTCCGATAAGTTCCTCCCAGAGGCCCATTAACTATGCTGGGGCCCTTCCTCACTTTCCCTTGACCATAGGAGATCCTGAGGACCCCGGAGGAGAGTCTGAGCCGCCCAAAGGCCATCCTTCAGTATCACCACAAGACCAGCCTGGGTTCTTTCCACTCATGTAGTCCTTTGATGAAATTCTTTTCTCTACTTCTTTTTTCATTCTTTTGGTTGATGAAAGTATGGAGAGACATCAGCTTTCCCCTAAGGACCCCTGCGGCTGCACCCCAAGTGTTTTGGCTTGCTGATTCATTGTTACCCAGTTGTCTCAATACAGCCTTAACACTCATACACTGAATCTACCATCAGACTCATTCCCACCTATCTTTTCCCCAAATCTACCACTGCGTTTCATTCTGGGAAAGAGAGTTCTAAGGACTTAATCTCAACAAACTTCAATTCAATGAATGTATTCAAGGTACTTTGCTAAGTTCTGGAGATACAAAGATTTTCTTTTCTTTTTGGTGACGCAATCGGGGTTAAGTGCCTTGCCCAGGGTCACACAGCTAGTAAGTGTCAAGGGTCTGCGGCAAATATTTTTTTTTAATGGTGTTCCATGTATAGTAGAAGGTGATAGGAATTAGACTTGTGATTTTGTTGGTAGGGGCACCCTTCCCTGAAATGTTAAGCCTTAGAGCATTAAGGGGTTTAGTGAGTTATCTAGTGTTACACAAACCGGCATGTATCAGAGACAGGGCTTGAACCCAGGGCTTTCTTGTTTTGAAAACAGTCCTCTAACCATTGTGCTATACTGCCTTCATATTATACTGTATAATGCCATTATATTATACTGCACTGCCTCTTTATAGAATAAGATATGTATGTATTCAGTTATGATGCAAAGCAGAATGAGATAAATACCAAAGAGAAATCCCACAAAGAAGCTATGGGAAACTTGAGAAATAGACCATTTTTAGCCAGGGTATGGAGTTTGGGTTGGGGGATCAGAGGAGGCTTCATGAAAAAGGTGGGACTTGAAGGTTTATATGGAATTTCACAGTTGGAGATACGTAGGAAATGTATTCAGGATATGGGGGATGGCTTGCGAGAATGCAGGATAGCCCAATGGGATGGTAAGACATGGAGAATGACAAGCAGCCCACTTCGGCTAGAACGTGGAATGTGGGGAGTGGTATGGGCTTTATCCTGGCAATAGGGAGCCAGTGAAAATTCTTGAGCAAAGGTGTGACATGATCAGGCATGTGCATTCTGAAAATTATTTTGGCTGAGATGTGAAGGATGGTTTGGAAGTCCAGAGACCAGAGGCAGTGATAACTATTTAGGAGATGCTTCCATGGATCCAAATGAGAGATAAGGAAGGCCTGAATGGAAAAGGAAAGGACAGATAATGGGAAATATATAGGAAGGAAATGGACAGGATGCCTGTGGAGAGCAGTAGGAGAGAGAGAAGAGGATGACCTGATAAGTCCTATATAGACATTAGCAGCACTGTGATGACCTGGCCAATACGCGGAGAATCCTGGAATGCAAATCACCTGAAGATCAAAATTCTTGTAGTTTAATCTTCTTATGTCTTCTTTTGATTAAAGATCTCTAGCAAGGCAAGAGCGGCTCTGCCAGGATGATGGATGCATGGGGCTGTAACTGCTTCAGCAATTCTCCCATGCAAATTGAAAGATCATAATTTATGCTTCTCCCAGGGTGGCCATACTGGTTGACAGATCCATTCTGGAAGAGGGGGGCTGGTTATTGGGAGATAATTTATGGGCATGTGTGCAATCGTCTTTGCTGGCTGCTGGCATTTATCAGAAACTGTGGCTTAGATGATTATCTTGGATCAAAACTCTCCTTTCATGGTAGCAGCTCACATTTCTACAGTGCTTTAGGGCTTGCAAAACATTTTCCTCCCAATAACCCGTGAGGTAGGCAGTGCATGGATTATTAGTCATATTTTATAGATGAGGAAATTGAAGCCCAGAGTGGGGAAATACCCCGCCTAGGATCACAAAGCTCAGTCAGGCAGTCAATAAGGAAACATTTATTAAACACCTACTATGTGCCAGGCACTATGCTAACTAAGCCCCAGGGGGTACAATAAAGGCAAAACACAGTCCTTGCTCTCACAGTCTAACGGGGGAGACAACATGCAAACTCCTATATCCAAATGAGATATCTTTCTTGTTGATTTGTCATTTTTCAGTCAGGCTTGATTCTTTGTGACCCCATTTGGGGTTTTCTTGGCAAAGACACAGGGGTGATTTGCCATTTCCTTCTCCAGCTTATTTAACAGATGAGGAAACTGAGGCAAACAGGGTGAAGTGACTTGCCCAGGGTCACACAGCTAGTAAGTGTTACTTGTCTGAGGCTGGATTTGAACTGAGGTCCTCCTGACCCCAGGGCCAGTGCTCTATCCACTGCGCCACCTAGCCACCCCAATGTTGGTAGCTATTAAACAGCTAATACAGAGCTGCAATTTGAACCTAAGTAGCCTAGAGTGAAAAGTCAGGGAGCCCTGGGCTCAAACTTCACCTTTAACACTCACCAGCTGGGTAACCTTGGTCAACTCTGCTTCTCAATTTCATCTGTAGAATGGGGATAACAACACCTGTAGCACCTGCCTCACAGGACAGGATCAAATAAGAAAAGGTATTTGACATGTTTGCAAATCTTCATGCAGGCTGTTGAATAGATTCCAAGAATCTCTATTCTACTATCTGTGCTGCCTGTGGATTCCCAGGGTGTGCCTGGATTTGCAGTCATTCTCTGCTTCCCCAGGCCATGGCCCCTGCTCTGACCTTCAACCAATAGCCACGTGGTGGTTGATTGTCTCTAGCTGGTTCTACTTCCTCACGTTGCACTCACTTCTTGGTATCTGAGAAACTTCTGTCTTCTAATCACCCTTTCCTTCTTCTTCCCCTTCATTTTCTGCTATGTCTGATTGGTTTTCTAGTCTAATCCATTCTATTTTTCCAAGCTCTTTCACAACCATCCTTCCCTCTGCTCATACAACTGGCACTTCAGCCCTTACCAGCCCCTTATCACTGACCATTTACATCATTTCTCTGAAAGACTTCTGAGCTCTGATTAATCCAGAATTGTGATTTCATTAATGTAGATGGCTCCTAGTGGACCTTTATGAATTCATTTCTTAATGTTGCTCTAGGGATGCAAGTACAAGCAAAGAAGACTATGCCGGCCTTCAAAGAGCTTACTGTCTAATAATGAAAACAACATATAAAGAGAAGGTGGCAGGGTTGGGGTGCAGGAAGACAGGGGTAGGGGGTTGATACCCATGGACAGCACAGTGGGAAGTTGGCTTGGAAGTCTGAATAAAACAAAGAATTCATGTGTAAATGACATAGAAGTTTATATGTTACCCTACAGGCAAGATGGGGCCACTCAAGTGTTTTAAGAAAAGCACTGGGTGACCTGGTCAGAGGATTGGTAGAATATAGGTGAAGAATGAGTTAGGGCATTGTAAGGCACAGCCAATGCACTGGTTTGTTTTGCTTAATGGTACTTTGTTAAAAAGTAGATTTCCTCCCAGACTATCTGAAAAAAAATCATGTAAGGTGGCAAAGAGACAGTGTTAATGTATTAAGTGAAGTAGAAACCCTTTAGAAAGTGTGAAGAAGTTCTCCCCAGTGGAATTAGAAGAGAAGCTTGCCATCGGTTGACTTAAGATTGGCCATGTCCCTGGTGGCCCTCAGAAGGCAATCTTAGCATCTCTGAGAGAGAGTCGAGGAAGCAAGCAGATTTATAGTGTTTCTGTCCAAAAGCAATGAGAGAGAAAGGAGATTTAATCTATCTTGACCCACTTACCACCTATGAAACATGGAATATTGCAGCAGAACTACTCATTCAGTAGCACTTTATTTTGATTTGCATACAACAAAAAACTTTTAAGAAGAATCCAACTCTGAAATGGGAGAGAGAAAGAGAGAGAGTCAAGGCAGAAAGCAGAATATCAGAGAAAACAATGAACTATAGATGCAAAAAAGAATTAACCCTAGCAGTTGAAAGTTAAGCTGCAGAAGGAATAGGCCTAGGGAGTCTAGGGGAATTATTTACTGAGCAGACATTGCACCAGGAGAAAACAAATGAGATAATATTTGTAAAAGTGCTTAGTCCAATGCATGGCACATAGTAGGTACTTCATAAATGCTCCTTTCCTTCCTCTCTTCCAGTGCAAGAACTTCACAAAAAGAGAAATGAGACTAATTTCATATAGTACTGGAGAAGTGATTTGTCTTGTGTGTTCCTCACTACTAGTGTTCTCTAAGTCTGTGTCTACTTTTCCTATTGACAGTGTATATACTTGTGGGAGAGTGCACCTGAGCTTTATGGAAGGGTGGGTGATATTTTGCAGCTATGGTTTTTACTGTATCATCTTTGTTTTAAGCTAATTATGTCTACTGACTGATTTTTAAAGGTAAGTACACTGATGGGGGCTTGTGATTAAAATTTGAATAGTGTGGGTTCTAGATGTTACCTTGAATCCAAGGTAGTAGATATCCTCTGGGGGACTTTTGAGTGCAAGTTTGGGTGGTCGGTAGCTCCTTGAGCAAAACACTTTATTACAAGGAAGGATTCTATGGTGCTAGGTGAGTCATTGGCAAGTAACAATGATGTAAAGAAAAAAAAAGAATAAAAAAAGACATTTAAAAAAATAACAAACAAAACCATGGAATGGTCCTGAGTGTTAAAGTTAAGAATGAGCTATAGCTTTAAAAGAAAGCTGAGACAGAGTCTTTTTAGTTATATTGAGGAGAAAGATGAAAACCCAAGAAGGGAAAGAATCCTACTTGGGACTTTTTGTGGTGATGACAACTGATTATAGAAAGAACTGGTCAACTCTGATTTTGTTTCTTTTCTCTGTCAAGGAGAAGGCTCTTTGGACTGGAAAGGACAGAACAAAGCTGGTGAGAAAGGAGTTGATGCCAGAAGTATGTAGAAGGTAAAAGGGGGTCTTGAGGAGAGGCTGCATGATGGAGCACTGGGCGCAGAGCAGGAAAATCTGGGTATGGATTTTGCCTTGGGCACTTTCTAGTTGTGTAAACGTTCAAGTCAATTAACCTCTCCAAGTCTTAGTTTTACATCTGAAAATAGAATAATAATTAAAGCCCTTAGCTCACAGGGTGCCTGAGAAGCTTAATGCCTAGGCAAAAGGTGGCACTGGAGAGCTAGACAGGTTGAGCTCTCCATCACCCACCATCTCAGGAGACTTACTGAGCAGACCGGTGTGATTCATTTCCCCTCCCTTTCAGTGGGCAATTTCCCTCCCAAGCTTTCTTTCCCTCCCAAGCAAATTTCTCCCCCTCCCATCACCTGATGGCTTGCTTTTCAAAGCCAGGTTACAGACTACAAAAAAGAAATTGAAAATATCCTTCCTTCCTTCCTTCCTTCCTTCCTTCCTTCCTTCCTTCCTTCCTTCCTTCCTTCCTTCCTTCCTTCCTTCCTTCCTTCCTTTCTCTCTCTCACTCTCTCTCTCTCTCTCTCTCTCTCTCTCTCTCTCTCTCTCTCTCTCTCTCTCTCTTTTTCTCTCTCTCTCTCTCTCCTTCCTTCCTTCCTCTCTCCCTTTCTCACTCAAAATTTTATCTCTGAGATACATGTGTCCTAAATTCAGGCTAACCTTGTATAATACTGGTCTCTCCCCTTTGCCTGATTGTCTAAATTAGCTCCAAGCCCCCAAATCAGTTTTTGATAATCAAATAGTCTCGACTCTAAACAGGAAATTCTCTTTCTCTTTTCCTTCTGTTTGTAATTACCAAATGGAACACCCCCCCCACACACACACAACTTTACATTTCTGTTGATCAAAACAGCTTTAGAACATCTGCTGGCTTTAAAAAAAAACCCAGCAATTTTTTTAAAGAGACATAAATGCTTCCTAAGCCAGAGTAAAGCATCAGATTGGAACCGTACAATTAGACTTTCTGAAGAGAAGGAAAGGGGAATTGGAAGGAAGGTCATTAGTCTCTGTCTTCAGCTTGGATCAGCAGTGGAGGGTACACTATGGACATATTTCATGCTTGCACTGTCTTCCCTGCCCTAGGTCAAGACACCCAGCAGTTGCTTTTAACATCCCAATCTGCTCTCTACTTCCTCCTTCCCACTGCTTGCTTCTGCGTCCCCTTTTCTCACTTCCCCATCTCCCACCCACACGTGTCTGCTTTAAGGTCAGTGTCAATTGTATTCTGGGTAGTTTGCCCTGGGGTCAGATCCCCAAACCCTGAGTAGTTTAGGGAACCCTGGGAAGGTCATCTACCAGACGACAACACCTGCTGACTCCTTCCTTATCCCCACTTGCTCCACATCCAAGATTTTGGGCAGAACTCTGAAGGCTGAGTTACAACCATATATGAAGCGCTGCATAAATCATGAGTGTTTTCTGCATCCTAGCAATAGAAGGAAAAGAATTTAAGAATACCTCAAAGAACCAAACCTAATCAGTCAACACAATGCATTTCCCTCTTTAACTATAAGGCAAAGAGAGGGTAGGAAGAAAATCTTCATTTCAAAGTAAAATTATAATATTTTTGCATCCATTGATGTCCCTGATTGTTCTAGCGATAGTACAGTGAAAGAAGTGGAAGATGTAATTGCTGAGCACCATTATTGGTCTTTGAAAGATTATGAGGTGGGGTGACTAGGTAGCATAGTGAATAGAGCACAGGCCCTGGAGTTGGGAGGACCTGAGTTCAAATCCAGTCTCAGACATTTGACACTTACTAGCTGTGTGACTTTGGGCAAGTCACTTAACCCTGATTGCCTCCAAGAAAGAAAGGAAGATCATGAGGAAGGGGAGGAGCACTGTTATGTTGGTGAAAGGCTGATGCTGTACCAGTTTTCATAAAGGGAATAAAAACAGAACCCATTAACCAGAGGACAGTGAGATGGGTTTTGATTACTGGCAAAATTCTAGATTGTATTAGCCAAGAGATGGTTAGTGAAGGTCTAAAAAACCAATAATGACAAAAGGAAGATCATAATGAGCCAGCACGGCTTCATCAAGACAGGCAATGCCAGGCAAACCTTCCTCCCTTTCCTGAGCAGATTTTGTTGTTGGGCATTTCAGTCATGTCCAACTCTGTGTGACCCCATTTGGGGTTTTCTTGGCAGAGACACTGGGGTACTTTGACATTTTCTTCTCCAGCTCATTTTACAGATGAAGAAACTGAGGGAAACAGAGTTAAGTGACTTGCCCAGGGCCACATAGCTAGTAAGTGGCTGAGGCTGGACTTGAACTCAGGTCTTTCAGACTCCTGGCCCCATGCTCCATCCACTGCACCACCACCTTGATTGCACCTGTATTCTTTAGCATTTTTCTCAGTGAGTTGGATAAAGGCATATACATGGAATGCTTATTAAATTGGTAAACAATAAAACTGGGAAAGATGGCTAATGCACTGAACGAAATAATAAAAAAGATTTTGGCAGGCCAGAACGTTGGTCTGGATTAAATGAGATTCTATTTAATGGGAACAAGTCAGTAATTCAATAAGCATTTATTAAGTGTCTTCTATGTGCCAGGCATTATGCTAAATGCTGGAGATACAAAGAAAGACAAAAAAAAAATAATCCCTGCTCTTAAGGAGCTCACAGTCCATACTTGGCTCATTAGTCTTATATTTGGATTGGAAAAATTAGTTTCACAAGTCAAAACAGTTTGTCTAAAAAAAATTGGGGGATTTTAGTGAATTGTTAGCTCAGAATAAATTAATAGTGTGCTATGACAGGTAAGAAAGCAAATATCATCTTAGTTGTACTCACCAAAGGATCTATGAAGCTGGAGGAGGCAATTCCCACGTTTTTACACATCTTCAATTTTTCACCTCAATAAGCATTTATTAAGCACTTATGATGTGCCTGGCACTGGGATACAAATACAAAAAGAAAGAGTCCCTTCCTTCAAGGAGCTTACAGTCTGATGGGGGAAGACAAGGCACAAAAGGAAGCTAAAGAGGGGTGAAGCTCTAGGGGGTGGCAACTGAGGCCCAGAGTGTTTAAATGACTTGCCCAAGGTCATGTAGCTAGTCTTCGGCAGAGCTGGGTTTCAATCCCAGGTCCTCTGATGCCAGTGCAGAAGGAATCAGGGATAGTTAGCTTGGAGAAGAAAAGACATAGTATTTGAAGGTCTGTGGTATTGTAGACAGATGAGATTTCTTCAGCTTGGTCCTAGAGGGCTAAATCCCTACTGAAGAGAGGGTGGAAGTTGTAAAATGAATATCAATCAATTAATCCACAAGCATTTATTAAGCACCCACTACATACTAAATGACTGGAGGAGAGAATGAGACTGATGACTTTGCCTCACTTAAATCCAATTCACTTGCAAGTCAAGACATCACCTTCCTGATATCAGTCTTCTTTGAGAATGAAGGACAAACAACAACAACCTACAAGCATTTATTAAGCACCTACTATATACCAAGTACTGTGCTAAGTGCTGGGGATAGAAAGAGAAGAAAAGAGAGAGAGAGAGACAATCCTTGTCCTCAAGGAGCTTACAGACTATTGAAAGAGACAGCAAGGACATCTTGTAAGTATATGTGTAGAACATGGACAAACAGAATACAAGATAGTCTAAGGAAGGAGAGCTTGTTCGCCTTTGGTCTTGCCACTGGACTGCGATATTCTGGAGAAGAGAGTGAGGCTGATGACTTTGTGCAGCTCTGCCTCCCTTAAATATCATTCATGCCCAAGTCAAGACATCACAGTCATGACATCACTGGTCCTCCTGAGCATGACAGCAACAATATCAGCCGACTGAAGGCACCAGAAAAGGCTTTATGCAACAGGTGGGAGTAGAGCTGAGTCACGAAGGAAGAGAGGGTTCCTATGGAGCTCAAAGTCTTCCAAGACACTCAGCCTAATCCTCTTTCTACTTCCCAGCCCCACCACCCTTCAGTTTCCCTTTTCCTGGTGCTAGCTGAGCTATGACTAACTGAATTTGAACAAAATGGAAGAGAGTTCTAGAACTCCATGAGCTCTTAACTATAATGGACCCAATGGTTCAGGGAAAGTAATCTAAATGCAAATCCTTTCGATTGGGTTTGCTCCTAGCAGTTATGGTTGTTAGCTTTGGAAATAGACTTGCATCTAAATAGATTAAATCTATTTCCCAGAGGCTCTGAGTGAGAGGGGTGGGACCATGTGAGAACTGAGGGAAGTGGGTGGAGGTGGAGGGAAAAGGGAAGGTGGGTGCAGCTAATGGACCTCAGCAATGTAGTGAGGATTTTTGGCACATTCTATTTGGTATCAAATTACACATGCAATGTGCACCTGGATTCTGGCCCTGCTCTATACTTCAGGTCATTGTAGTGGGAAATGCAGTAGCTTTGTTAAAAGAGGTCTCTGGCCAGGCAATCCAGATGACTGTTGAAATGCCTAGCTGGCACAGATAGTACATATGAAGGCAATGCACAAAAACAGACTCGTAACTGAGGTCTGCCAAGCAGGGGCAAGCACGTATGGGGTGGGGGGAGGGGGGGGTCAAACACATATGGCCAATCACATAAAACAAGTGAGGTATCTGCTGAGTCATGGCAGCCGGTTGCTTGGCTCAATTTTACATATTACATGAGGTCTTTGCACGGTTTGCCTTTGATGCCTGCAGGCAAGTTTAGGTGTATTCACCTAGATCCTAGGGTGTAAATTGTGAATTCATCCAGACCTAAAGATGTAATAAATTGTGCTGAAAATTCATGACCTGTGACATTTTAATATTGTTTAGATCTGAGAAGGGAAATATCTACTGTGTCTATTTCTATTAAAACCACCCCAGTCTTGGGATAACATTTAATGTATCCTGCCTGGGACAAAACATCACCTTCACTGCTTGTATTTAATAAACACAACATTGATAGAGCTTTATTTTATTTTATTTTATTTTATTTTATTTTTTATTTTATTTTATTTTATTTTATTTATTTTTTGCTAGAGTTAGGAGTAAATTGTCAAGTACCGAAGAAAGCAGAAACCTTAAAAATGAGTCTTCAAAACTTGCCTTATTGGACTT